AGATTTAAAAGAGCGGTTAAAAAAAAAAAAGAGTTTGCTGTTTAGTTTGTACTGTAAGTGTAAATTGTTTTCTAGCATGTTTAAATATGAATTGTGATTAACTTTTTAAAAATTAGTATTTGGTTAGGAGATACTGTTTTTTATTTCTTCTGCACTTCTGTACATAGTCTCCATTCTTTATATAAACAGAGAGGATCCTATATATTAACAGAGAGTTTTATTTAAAGTTTTATTATTTATTTTTTTATTATTTAAAAACTTCAGAACAAAATAAAGTTCAAATTGAATGAATCAATGAATCAATCAATCAATCAATCAATTGACCTGCAATTGACCTTACAGAACTGGGCTAATTGTTCTCAACATCCCACTTATAAATGTTGCAGGGAAATACAATTTCTTAAAAACTTCAATGGACAATTTTCAGAAACAATGCCTATTTAAAATTTTCAGAACAAAATAAAAAAAAAGTTCAAAACAAAGGACAAAAAAAAATGTTTGGTCTAAATTAATGATATATAATGTAGAATTATAGTAAAATAATACTTTATAATTATAAGGAGGGGTGAGTCACTGGCCCAACTTACCCCAAGACGTTTGGCTCAAATTACCCCACTTCTACCATTCTAACAAACTTGTATCATTCAGCAGTTTAGAGCTTAACATCTTGCTAACAGTATAGTCTCATATTATAACTTCCTAAAACATAAACACGTGTGATATTAGCTGTTCAGACACAAGAAGCATGAGTCCTTGAACATAAAGAAAATCACTCTGAACAGCAAAAAAAAAAGAAAAAAAAAAAAGTTTTTTTAAACGTAAATGTAACCTAAAATAATTTTTTAACCTAAATGTAGTTAGCAATTATTCCACAGGGTGAGTAAAATGGATAACTATTTATATCATTTTCACCAATTTTGTATAAGGTTGCCTAGAAACAAGGGGTGGCTCAACTTCCCCACAGGCTCAAATCTCTCCCCTACTTACTGAGTATCACACAGATGAATACATGAGCTGATTCACTCCATCACTGATATAAGCATACAGAGATGAAGACAGGTGATGAGTAAAAAAATGAATTTACTGTGGTAACAACTCCATTTGCTATAGAGAATTAATAAATTTGATACTTTTTTTTTACTTGAAATGTGGAATTTACATTTTTAGTCAAATGTAAGTGTTTTTGTTTCTGCAGCTGTTGTTCGTGGTTCTGCTCGCTGGAAATTCTGAAGCAAAAACAGACCCATTAACAGTAAGTCTTTATGAAGATGAACTGATTAGCATTGATAAACAACATGTGACAGCCTAATTATGGGCAGTTTTGTTCCCTCCTAACCATAAATGTCAAGCTCAAATCAAATTCAAAGTGCTCCTGCTGTTTTCTTTTGGTGATATTTGAGATCTCCCATATGATCTGTGTTTCAGTGGGTGATCTGAGGATTGTTCTTCTGGGGAAGAGCGTGTCAGAAAACAGTCGAGTGGGAAACTTCATCTTAGGACGAGCAGCGTTTGACAGTGAAGCTCCTCCAGATGTTGTAGAGAGAGTCGGAGGAAGACTGAAGGACAGACACCTGATCATCATCAACAGTCCTCAGCTGCTCCAGACAAACATCTCAGATCATCAGCTCACACAGACAGTGAGAGAGTGTGTGTATCTGTCTGATCCAGGACCTCATGTCTTCATAATCATACTGCAGTATAAAGACTTCACCGAGGAGGACCTGAGAAGAGTGAAATATATGCTGGAGAGATTCAGTGAAGAGGCCGTTAAACGCTCTATAGTGATCACCACTGATGAAGAGATGCATGATGCTGCGAGAGCTAATGAATTAATTCAGCAGCCAGGACCTCATGTGATCGTGCTGCTCCTCAAACATGAGCCGTGTTCAACAGAAGATCAAGAGTGTGTGGAGAAGGTGCTGCACTCTTTCTCTGAGCGCGTTTATCAACACACAGTGGTGCTCAGCTCACAAGAGACCACTGAAACCAGTGACATCCTACAGAACATCATTCAGAAATGTGCAAACAGACACTTCAGTCTTCAGAGGAGCAGCTCTCCTGATGATCTGCTGCAGACACTTGAGGACATTGAGAAGATGAATGACGGACGTTATCTGCACTGTGCTGAAGCTGCACAGTGTTTCACAATGAAGCAACAGAACACAGAGAGACGTGAGTGTGATGATGCTTGAAGTTCCTAGTGATGAATTAACATGTTTTAATCTTCTTCTTCTGTCAGTTTCAGAGGGTGTGAAGCTGAATCTGGTCGTGTGCGGGAGTGATGGGACATTAAAATCCTCTGTATCAGAGCAGATCCTGCAGCAGACAGACAGAAGATCAGACGTGGAGCTTCATAGTCGTCTGATCAATCTGATCAGTCTTCCAGCTCTCAATCAGCTCTCAGAGGAGGAAGTGATGTGTAAGACTCTCCACTGTGTGTCTCTCTGTGATCCTGGAGTTCATGCTTTCATCATCATTATTCCTGTTGGTCGAAATACAGACAAGATCAAGAAAAGATGAACAAGAGAACAAAAGAGGAACATGAACAAGAATGTATTATAGCAGAGAAGAAATGGAGGAATAAAGAAGCAAAGGAGCGAAAAAAATGGAAGAAAAATAAAGAACGAAAAATAAAAGAGGCTGGAAATGACAGAAAAGAGGTTCAAGGGGAAATTAAACGACAGCAGAGAGAATGGGAGGATGAAAAGAAACGACAGATGAGAGAACGAGAGAAAGAAGAAAAAAAGAGAAAAGAGAAACATGAGGAACAGCTGAGAGAAAAACAAGAAGAACTGGAGAAAATGAGAAAGAAACTTGAAAGAGAGAAAGAAGAAGAACGACAGAAGATAGAGGAGAGACGGAAAAAGAGAACAGAGAGAGAAGAAAAAGAGAGAGAATATAAAGAAAAAACTGAAATGGAAAGACATTATGAACGACTGGAGCGAGAGAGAAAAGAGGAGTGGGAGAGAAGAAAACAAGAAGATGAGAGACGAGAGGAAGAGAGAAAGATATGGGAGAAAATGATTGAATATCTGAAGCAAGAACGAGATGAAATGAAACAGAAACATAAAGAGGAAATAAAAGTCACGAAGAAGAAACATGAGGATGAAGCCAGAAAACAAGCAGAAGAACTGAATGATTTCAGAGAGAGAAAAAAGAGACAGAAAGAACAACTGAGAGAAAAACAAGAAGAACTGGAGAAAATGAGAAAGAAGTTAGAAAATGATAGAGAAGTGTATGTTCGAGAGATCACAGGGATGCGTAAAGATCTGGAAGAAGTGGAAGAAGAGAAAGATAAAGATATAAAAGAGCTGCATCAAGAAGTTAAAATAAGAATAGCGAGGAATAAAAACAGCTGTGTCTTTCAGTGGTGTTTCTGAAACATAAAGATGAAACTCAAAAATCTTTTATTGCTGCCATTTCTGTTCACTGGGATTCTATTTAAAACGCTGCAAAACTTTATATGTACATATACATGTCTCACCATTGTTTTTTTAATTTTTTTTATTCAGACACTGTTCTGAACCATTTGTGAATACTCTGTTCTTGGACCACTTCTGTTTGATATTTATGTTACCCCTTTATCGTGGGCATGGTCTCAGCTATCACTCTTATGCTGATGACCTGCAAATTTACAAATCAGCTCGCTCCGTTTCTGCTCTCCCACTTGACTCGTTAAATGCCTGTATTGTTGTCATCAAAATTTGGTTACATAGCAGTTTCCTAAAATTGAATAATGATAAAACTGAGCTTATTGTATTCGGTCCACCAACCCTCTTAAAAAAGTCTGAACTAAGTTTATCTTACGATGGGGCTATATTAATTCCTTCTCATATAATAAAAAATCGGTAGCACTTTACTTGAAGGGGTGTGCATAAGACTGACATGACACCTTCATAATCATGACATGACACATGTCATGAATATGAAGGAGGTTTTATGCATGTTTATGACAACTGTCATTAAGTGTCATTCGCTCAGTTATGTCATTTTTATTGCAAAGATGACATTGTTTGACCTAACCCTACCCCTAACCCTAACCCATAACAAAGACATCTCAAACAATGTCATCTTTCGTCTCGACTACTGTAATTCACTTCTTATTGGGCTGCCTGCTAAAACAATCGCTAGATTCGAGCCAAGAAATCTGATCATATTACCCCTTGCTCTATAATTTACATTGTTTGCCTGTTTCTGTTATCTTTTTTCCCCCAACCCTCCTCTGTCTAATGCTTTGCTGTTACATTACTGTGTATTTATGTATGTGCATGTACTGTATATTGCATTGATTCATGTTTGATGTTGTATTTTCTCCTTGTACAGTGACCTTGAACATGGGATAGGTGTATAAATAAACCATATTATTTTTATTATTATTATTATTACTGGCATTTTTATATTGCATGCATATCACTAACATGATATGAGCTTTAAAGAGTGCAAAATATTTCTTTGTTTAATTCTGTCACAGTATCTACTGTGATATAAACTTTGGTATGCACAAAATTGGAATATCGCATAAAACATTTAAGAATAAAGCACCGTTTCCATCCAGCGAGATGAAGAGAACACAAATCATCACTTCCTGATAAAAGTGGCGCAAATATCACTAAGAAAAAAGTAATTTGCTGTAGTAGGAGAAGCCACTGTGGGTCTTTTTCATATACAGTTGTGCACATAAGTTTACATACCCCTTGCAGAATATGCAAAATGTTAATAATTTTCACTAAATAAGAGGGATCATGAAAATTGCATGTTATTTTTTATTTAGTACTGTCTTGAATAAGCTATTTCACATAACAGATGTTTATACAGTGGGTACGGAAAGTATTCAGACCCCCTTAAATTTTTCACTCTTTGTTATA